ATCTCACTGCGACCACCGCCTGCAAGCATCATGAGCGCTGCCTCGAAAAGCATTCGACGCACTCTATCGTAAATCAGAGGCACAGGACAAATTTGGCTCTGATACGCTTCTTTGCCGAGCTCTGATAGGGGACCGCTTTGCGCACAGAAGTTCGCCTTTCTCACAAGGTCCCAGACGCAAAGCTTGATACGAGGAGCGAGGTTCATTCTGCCACCAGATACCGACGCGCAACATGCCCCGCATTTCACCGCGCCGCTCCAGGCGTTTTGTGCTTGCCGCAATCATGGTGATCACACTCACTCTGCTGTGGCAACGAGCTCGTCAGATGAATACAGCTTGGCGATCATCCAGCGTGTCAGCTCCAGCAGGAGTGCTCATACTGAGCGCGCATCCAGATGACGAAGTCATGTTCTTTTCGCCCATCATACTTTCCCTCCTCGAGGCTGGCACAGCCGTTTGGGGTCTGTGTCTCAGTCAAGGCGATGCGGACGGACTGGGTGACGTGCGGCGCAAAGAGTTGCAGAAGGCTTACGGGACATTGGGAGTGGACAATGAACGAGTAACAAGCTTGAACGATGGGCGATTTCGAGATGGAATGTCGAACGAATGGCAGGCGGATGAGATTGTTGGTGCGGTCAAGCATCACCTCGAGCATCTTGGGCGACAACAGGCGGCATCGATAGACACCATCATCACATTCGACGCAAAAGGAGTCTCGCGTCATCCTAATCATATCGCCCTCTACCGCGCAGCGCAGCTTTGGCTTCGATCGCAAAGCTCATCCCATCCCTCTCCGCGCATCCTCGCCTTGCAAACTCTTCCTCTTTCCACCAAGTTCTTGTCCCTCTTTGGCTCCCTTTGGCAACATCAAACGCTCCGATGTGCCATTCCTCACCTTGCTTCGGCAAAGCAGCGCGACTCGACGCCCGTTCGAGCTTTGCTGCCCCTGTACGGCCAGGGCGGCACGAACTACTTGACCGCGCTACGAGCTATGAGGGATCACGCTTCGCAACTCGTCTGGTTCAGATACCTCTACATACTCTTGTCCGGCCATATGTGGGGAAGCGTACTTTGTCCCGTATATGCCACGCTTCAATGATGATGGGTGCACGCACGCACGCACGCACGCTCAGACTTTGTCCCCTCTCGATCACCGGTGCACGACGATTGCTGCACACTCAACAGACGAGCGCTTGAGCACATCGGAAAGAAAGTCAAGTTCCTTGGGCATTGCC